TGACTAGGTGCCTTTGAGCCAATCACCAGGAGGCAGTGAGTTCTAGTCCTGCCTGAAAGCTGATTAGGTGCCTTTGAGCCAATCACCAGGAGGCGGTGAGTTCTAGTCCTGCCTGAAAGCTGATTAGGTGCCTTTGAGCCAATCACCAGGAGGCGGTGAGTTCAAGTCCCTCTTGAGACATGGAAGCCAACTTGTTAACTTTGGGCCAGTCATTCTGCTTCAGCCCATCCCACCTCACAGGGTTGTTGTGGGGAAACCGGGAGGAGGGAGGAGCATGAGATATACGTGCCACCTTGAGGTGTCTATAAAAAATATCAAAGTCAGGGGAAACAAACAAATAAGTAATAAGACTTTGTGACATCCCAAGCCCCATTCTCCATTGGCCGAAAAAGGCAAACCCAGCAGCCAATCAATTGGAGAGGCTGCCAGGCCTTGACCAGGGGGGCGGTACCTTGCTTGTCCACGGCCTCCTCAGATGGAACGAGGAATTGCTGGCAATGCAGAAGGACAAGAGAACTAAGACCTCCTACTTTTCTTGTCTTTTTCCAGCTCACGTTTCAGCCCTGCGGCTCTTTGACATCAGTGAGTTGGATATCCTTGAAGATTACACGGTGGATTTGCACCAGTTCATGTCGGTGGGGGGCGTCTACCACTGCAATTTGCTGAAGCTCCCACCTCAAGCCAAGCAAGTCAAAGGATGGACCATCGTAGAAGTAATGTTCACCTTAAAGAGGCTGAGATGAGGGATGGCTCGCCCCACGGCCTCTCCTTCCCAAATCTGATTTTCTCGCTAGAATGGGCGTGGCTAGCGCATGACACATCTGCCCTGCGGGCCGCGAGCTTGACACCCCCTGCCCCAGGGGTGGGTTCCAGATCCCGTCGCAACCGGTACGCTGCGATGGGGCTGGGTGTCCCCTTGGGCACGCGCACTGCGCATGCATGCACACCCACTGCGCACACATGCGCACCCACTGTCCTGCGATGCTCCAGCTGCTCGGCAGAGGTTGCGCAGGCACCGTATGCTGCACCCGCATGCACAAATAGCCCGGTTGGCTTAAAAATAGATAAGGAACGTGGGTGGGTGGGCCCACCAAAACAATGTTCCAGTACAGTGGCCGCTGCTCCCAGCGGCCACCGGTATAGCAATAGCAATAGCAATAGCAATTANTCCGTTCCCGAACTTCCAGTTTGCATGTTGGGCCGTTTTTAGTCCTCCTGAGGCTTCAGGGAAACCTCCTGAAGGTCCCTGAAGCCTCCGGAGGGCTTAAACCGACCCTACGAGCAAACAGGAAGTCCGTTCCTGAACTTCCAGTTTGCCAATAGAGCCGGGTTTTTGCACTCCGGAGGCTTCACGGAAGCTCCTGAAGCCTCCGGAGGCCCTCGGAGTGGGGGGCGGGGGCGGGTAGGGGAGGCTCTTTTCGCGGCTCCTATAAAGACTCTGGAGCCTGGGGAGGGCAAAAAATGGCTTTAAAAAAGGCTGAACTCAGCTGGCCAGTGCACGCATGTGCGCTGGCCAGGTGATAGGGCAACGCCTCGTGTGCACTGACAAATGGCTCCGCGTGCCACCTATGGCCCGCGTGCCTTAGGTTGCCATCCCGGGACTAGAGTCATTAAATAGGTCACCTCCTGACCTAACTATTTTCTGATGATTATTAAGTGAATTGCCATGGTCATTAAGAGATTCATTAAGTGAACCGCATGGTCATTAAGCAAATCCAGCATATCGAAAGGGTGTTTTTTGCCACTTTCTGCCAGAAAAGGGCAAAAACAATGACAAATCCTGGCCAGGCCATATAGGTATGAAAGCATCTTTTACAACGTTTGAAAGAGTTACTACGTGGCATTGTGTGTGGCGATGACAGTATTAACTCAGACCTGACCAGAAGTACAAGCTAGTCCTTGATGTATGACTACAATTGAGCCCAAAATTTATGTTGCTAAGTGAGACATTTGTTAAATGATTTTTGCCCCTTTTTACGAACTTTCTAGCTGAAGTTGTTAAATTGGTAGCCTGGTTGTTAAGTGAATCTGGCTTTCCCATTGACTTTGCTTGGGTGGAGGTCCCAAAAGGGGCCCTTGGACAATACTGGTCGTAAGTATGAACCAGTTGCCAGGCTTCTGAATTTTGACGGGGATGCTGCAACGGTTGTAAGTGTGAAAAAGTCACTTTTTTCAGTGCCATTATAATCTCGGTCACTAAATGAACTGTTGTAAATGGAGGGCTACCTGTAGCTTTTTAAAGCAATGGGTCATTAAGCGAGGACTACCCGTGAACAAGAGACTGGTCCTACAAATCTGTTTACCTGCCTCTGTTTCAAATCCATCCAAATCTTCTCTGCTTTCTCTCTCTATCCACTGATGGAATGTCTTGGTGTTTCTCCAGTGGGAACATTACACCTGTTGTGATGGCAGCCCAGACCCAACCGTTCTCCAGGAAATCAACACTTTTATGAGCTTGTGGCTAGAAGAGACCCAGAACGATACTACGACGGTGGTTGAGAAAGGGAGCAAGGTGCTGGAAGTAAGTCCCTGCCACTGTTCTATCCCATAATAGTCGTTCCTCCAGTCAGAGATAGGCAAGGTGTCTTCTCCCAGGGAGCAGGATTGGCATTGTTTTGTTTTGTTGTTTTTGTTTTTTGTTGTTTTTGTTTTGTTTGTTTTTTTGTTATTTTTTTTGGTTATTTTGTTATTTTGTTATTTATTTTGCTATTTTGCTATTTTGCTATTTTGCTATTTTGCTATTTTGTTATTTTGTTATTTTGTTATTTTGTTATTTCATTATTATTTTGTCATTTTATCATTTTATCATTTTATCATTATTTTATCATTATTTTATCATCATTTTATCATCATTTTATCATCATTTTATCATTTTATCATTTTATCATTTTATCATTTTATCATTTTATCATTTTATCATTTTATC